TGGCAACTCAGAAAGCAGAAAAATAATCTTTGACTCATGAGTTCAGGACAGAGTTTAGTGAACAGGTGGCAACTGAGCAATATTTTGAAGGATGGGAATGACTTCAGGCAGAGAAGGAAAGAAGGGCACTCCAGGAATAAAAGGGCGGGAAAAGAGGGTTGAGCAAATATAGAGAGGCATAAAAGCAAGAACACTGGATATTACGGTTTGTCTTGGCTAAACCATACCCTGGACAGGTAGATTGGGCCTGGACTAGAGGGCCCTAAATTCCAGGATAAGAAGTTTGGACTTTAATCTGTGAGTAATGGGCAAACACCAAAAAAGTTTTTAAACAAACAAGTATGCTGGCTGTTAGATGACTTTGGCACTGGTATGTTTGTGATAAAGAGGAGAGTGACTAGAGGTGAAGAGATACATGAGGAAGAGTCCAAGTGAGAGCCTCAATTTGTAGGCTACAGATGAGAATAGAAAAAAGGTGACATACATAAGAAATATCATAGATATGAAATCAACAAAACTTGGGGATTGCATGCATGATGAAGCGAAGGAGAATTAAAGATGACTCCAAGGTTCTGAATACAGATGGCAAAAAGAATAGCTATGGCATGAATATATATATGTATATATATTCATACACATTCACATTCACACACACATATATACATACATACATATATTCACATATATAGAAGATAGAAGAAGAAACAAGGATTTTTGTTTTGTTTTGTTTTTTTCTTAAAGGAAAAGAGAAAAGTTCAGTTTGGGACATGTGCCATTTAGTGAGTCAACAGAACATATAAGTAGACCACAAAAGGTCACACATAGGATCATATATTTAGAGCTGGAAGATACTTTAGTGGTCACCTAGCTCACCTCATCTCATTTTACAGAAGTTTAATAGGCAGTTAGATCTATGTGTCTGAAACACAGATGAGAGGGTGTGGCTAAAGATAAATTTTGTATCTTTGTATATATTTGTGATAGCTGAGACTTTGAGAGTGAATACTATAAGAAGGTTAAAGATGAAGGCTTGAGGAAAACCTACACTTAGAGGGCAGAAGGAGAAGGAGTAATAAATAAGGAAGACAGAAAGACTGGTCAGAGATGTAAAAGAATAATCAGGAGAAAGCAGCATCACAGAAGAGGCGAGATGAATTGTAACAATGATTGTAGGGAGGTTAAATCAAGCAATAAACATTTATTAAGCTCCTACTATGTGCCAGGCACTGTATTAAGTTCAGAGGATACAAAAAGAGGCAAAAGACAGCCCCTGCCCTTAAGGAGCTCAAAATCCAATGGGGAAGACATCACACACACACACACACACACACACACACATCAAGCAAGCTCCAAACAGGATAAATAATTCACAGAGGCAAGGCACTAGAATTAAGAGAGAATGGAAAGGCTTCTTGGAGATGATGGGATTTAAAGAAGGTGATCACCAAGAAAACGTTATTGGACTTGTCGATAAGGAACTATCCCAAAGGAACAGGTTGCTTTCGTAAGACAGAGTAGATTCTGCTTCTCCAGAGATCTTCAAAGCCTGTAAGAACACTTATTGGTGAACACTATTCAGGTGTGTGTTGGAGATGGCAGCCCTGAGGCCCATTCCAACTCCAAATCTCTGTGATTCTATGTTATTAGATTTAGGCTCATGTATTGTCTCAGTTTTCTATCTCCTCCAGCCCCTTGAACTGTGGAGTCTCCACAGAATAAGTGCTTAATCTTTTTGTTTGTTTGTTGTTATTATGGTTTCTTGCTCATGCACTTCAAAGCTAATATCCTGGAACCTCTGAGCTATCTCTCTCCCTTTCATGAAAAATATCCATTAGTTCTTTACAACCATCCTGGGAGGAAAAATCTGAACAAGTTGTCCCAAATAGGCCCTGGAACTATGTAAAGGGCTATCTTTGAACTTTAAATGACCCAAAGAATACCATCTATTTTGCCTATAGAGGGTAGAGCAAAAATCCCTATGACTCCTCCAGAATGAATTTTAAAGTTTTTAGAATCAAATCATTAAGGACATTTATCATCTCTCAGATCTGTAAGTCTACATTCCATCACTGTCTCGCTCTCTGCCTAAACTTTGAACTTGGTTTTTTGTTTTGTTTTGTTTTTAACTTTATATATATATAACGGACTATTATTTTTTGGACATGGCAAATGTATGGATTTCTTTTGCTTGAGTAAATTTATTCATTTCAAAGTTTGTTTGTTTGTTTTTTAAGTTTTTGGGAGAGGACATTTAGTGAGAAGGAAATGACAAACCACTTCCGTATCTTTCCCAAGTAAACCCCAAATGAGGTAACAAAAAGTAAGAAATGACTGAAAAATGACTGAACAACAGCAATAATATCTAGTGAGAAGATTGCTTAAAAGAGAAAAGATAGAAAAGAGGACCATTGAAGTATTTTTTTAAAATACACAGAAGAGAACAGAAGGAACTTTAGAAGGAATCATAGACAACCAGAGTAGCTTTGAAAGAAACATGGTGAATTTATTATATACTTATAAACAAAACAAATTGTAAATAAAGATTGGTGTTTCAAACATGATATTTTTCTGTTCTAAAAAAAAATCTTTATATACCTAATGGCTATGACAAACAAATTTCACTATTACCTACTAATTTATAAATATTGATCTCAAACAACAATTTCCCTTTCCGTCTGTAGTGGGGCATCCAATAAAATGGATTGGGGGAGGGAGCATGATATAGTACAAAGAACATTGGATTTGGGAGTCAAAGATTTGATGGTTTGAATCCTCTTCTTACTTATCTAGGTGACCTTGGGCAATTCACTGAAGCATTCTGAACATTGGTATGATTGTCTTTATTTTAAATTAATTGTGTTTCAATTAACAAGCTTTTATTGTATCCCCATGGAAAACAAAAACAAAAACTTGTAACAAATACTAATAGTCAAGTAAAACAAATTTTCACATTGTCCATGACCAAAACAAACGACTTCGTAGTCAAAGGACTACGAAGGTCGTTGGTTCTTAACCTTTTTGTGTGTCATGCGCCCTCTTCAGCAGGATGCTGAAACTTCCAAATACTTGAAAATAATGACTTTAGGTACTTAAAATGCCTAGGATGACAGAGAATACCAACTGGAATAGAGTTATCAAAATGTTCTTTTTAATATATTCATCGATACCAGGTTAAGGGTTAGGCTAAATGGTCTCTAATTTCTATGTTTCCTTCCAGTTATGTATCTTGGAGCTTAGAGGGAAAATAAGGAATTGTCAATGAGGACTCTTTTTTTTTTTTTTTTGGCTAGGCAATGGGGCAATGGGGTTAAGTGACTTGCCCAAGGTCACACAGCTAATAAGTATTAAATGTCTGAGACCAGATTTCAACTCGGTTCCTCCTGACTCCAGGGTTGATGCTCTATCCACTGTGCCACCTCGCTGCCCCAAGGATCCATTTTTTACTTTCAGAATTATTTGAATCATTACTCCTACCTCTTTCTGAAACTATAGCTTTCTTAAAAAAAAAATTCAAAGCTGATCAGCAGGGATGCTTCCAAAAGGAATCCAAATAGATGCAGAATACAACTAGGTAGCACAGTAATCAGAAAGATTCATTTTCATGAGTTCAACAAATCTAGCCTCAGACAACTTACTACTTGTGTGACCCTGGGCAAGTCACTTAACCCTGTTTGCCTCAGTTTCCTTATCTGTAAAAGGAACTGAAGAAGGAAATGGTAAACCACTCCAGTATCTTTGCCAAGAAAATCCCAAATGGGGTCATGAAGAGTCAGACATAGCTAAAACTACTGAACAATAGTCTTATCAAAATGGTTTAAAAATAATAAGAAGAATTAGTCCTTTTAAGTAAAAATTGAAACCAGTTGTGGGTTATCAAATGGCCCAATCCAATAGCATACAACAGAATAAGCCTCTGTCAGGAGGTCATTGGCACATAAAAGAAATAAAATGTTAAAATAGTCTGCTAAAATTCTAGGTAAAGGTGGAAATTCTCCCAATGATCTAGTAATACAACTATGCCTCTGCTCATGGACTTAAAAATCTATATCTAGGATTTTTTTAGTCCCAAATTTATAGCAAAATTAATAAAGTAGTAAAAGTGCCTTTTTTACCCCATTTTCTTTGATATACCATTCTGTATGTGGTAAGCAGTAATGGGCTATAGTGAATATAAAGCTGTCCTCGAAGTCCGAATGATCTGGCTTCAAATCAAACCTCAGACATACGATAACAATAGCTAGCATTCGTATCATGTTCACTTTACGTGTGCTATCTCATTTGATCCTCACAATACCCTTGTGAGGGAGATGCTATTATTATCCCCATTTTACAGATGCAGAACCTGAAGCCTAGCTAGATTAAGTGTCTGGCCCATGGACACACAGCTACTAAGTAACAGGGCTGGGGTTTGAACCCAAGACCTATAGGTCTCAAGTCAGTGCTTTTTTTCTCACTACACCCCACTGTTATTCAAATCATAATTGTTTCATGCTGGGTAAATACATGGTGTTGACCTTTAGTCTTAGAACTGGGGCCACCTATTCTGACTAGTCTTATGGGTAAGGCCACAGGCATCACATACATCTGTTGCTGCTAGGCCTCATGTCTTCTCAAGCCACAGTCCCAGTCTCTACAGACGTCACAAGGAGAGCATGTGCTCAGGCCCTGAGACTGGATAAGTGTCATTGTCTAGTGTGATTAGTAGTTGGACTTCTCTTTTTTGTTACCTCCTGCCCCTAGCAAATTTTCTCATCTGATAATGAGGAAAAGGTCATTAATCTTATTTTCCATATCTAAAAATGAATACTGTCACAGAAAAAAACTACCCAAAACAAAAGCCCCCTCAGTTTCTCTGACTCATTTTATTTCAATTACAAGCTTCTGACCTTTCTTTATCCCTCTAAGCATCACAAGAAGATCAGCATGAAGGAATCATGTGCCGGCCAAATACTTACTTAAAGACCAAAAAAACTCACTGAAGCAAAAAGGGGATTAGCAAGGCCTGGTGGGGAAGAGAGCCAGCCCAACCCAAAGCTTGGTTAGCGTGTGGGAGATTAGGAAGCAGTCAGAAACACAAAGCAAATTAGTAGCTGTTGCATCAGCAGAGGAACAACTCAGAGGTGCAGGAGACACTGAGCAGAGAAGGGCCTAAGGAAAGGTAAGGGAGGGAGCAATTCATTTCAGAGCTGGGTGGAAAGGAACCAAATGCTGTTGAAAATATATGGCTCCCAATCATGAAAAATAACTCAACTGAAATCTGCTTTCAGCACTTTTCATAATTCCTTGGTTTGGTTTAATTAATGGTAGTAAATTAATAATGAGCTCCTTTGATAAATGGCTTAGATAAGAACCATATTAGCTTTTGTTGGAAAAAAGAATATTGAAATTTCATTGAATAAAAGAGGAATAGTTGCTATAGGATTTATGCAAACTGAAATTCTTCATGGTAGATTATGATGATGATTAAACTGAAATGGCACACTCTATCTCCTCTTATTTAATGGGGAAAAATGTAGACAGGCATTTTGATGGTGGAACAGGTAATGACAATTAGGATAGAAACCTGGTTTAATTGTGTATTATCATTATTTTTCTCTCTCTTTTTTTCCAGCTAAATTTTATTCGTGTACTTGAGGTCTATCAGAGGAGAAAACAAGGTAAGAGGTTGGGGGTTGCATTCCTGAAGGACTTTCTTCCCCAGAGTTTTCCAGCTTCTTTCCTAGACTAGAATGGCAATGAAGGGACATCTCTTCTGGCTGCTCTGGCCACTGCTACTCCTTCACCAGGGTCATGCACAGTTCCCTCGGGAATGTGCTACTCTTGATGCATTGAGAAGAGGTGAATGTTGTCCAGACCTGAGCCAAGGACCCGAGCCTGGGACAGACAGCTGTGGTTCATCATCCGGGAGGGGCAGGTGTGATGTAGTTACTGCTGATTCCCGGCCTCACGGGCCCCAGTACCCACATGATGGCAGAGATGATCGTGAAGCCTGGCCCACTAGGTTCTTCAATAGGACCTGCCACTGCAATGGTAACTTCTCAGGATACAACTGTGGGACATGCAAACCTGGATGGAGAGGATCATCATGTGACCAAAGGGTCCTTACAGGTAAATACAATGAAACAGATGGGAGAATACTGTAGGAGAACTGAGGCAACACTTGTGCAAAGGGGGAGGGGCATTAAATAGGAGGATGTTAAACAAAAATGCTACATAACACTAGAAGCAAATTCTTTGAAAAAGGGAAAACATTTAGTAGAAATAAGCACAGTCGGATTAGAGAATCAGGGAGAGAAATTGAGAAAAACTATCACAGGAATATGAATATACAGTTGGAAGTAACATTAAAGGTTATCTAGCCCATTTCTCTCATTTTGCAGATGAAGAAACTGAGGCCTTTAGAGGTTAAGTGACTTGCCTAAGGTCGTACAGGGAGTGAGTAGAATAACTGAGATTCAAACCCAGGTCCTGTGACTACAAAAAAAAAATAATAATAATATTGGATTAAATAGTGAAAAAATAAATGAAATTAGAAGGAAGAAGCTGAACAATGGACAGAATCATCATGGTACAAAGGGGAAACATCAAATTTGGAGTCCACGAACCTAGGACAGAATCCCAGTTCTGCTGCTTGCTATGTATATGGTGTTTGACAATTCACTTCATATATTAGTCCTCATTTTCCTAACCTATAAATGAGGGAGTTGTATTACACGACTCTAAAGTCTCTTCCAGCTTTGAATTAAATGAAATTGTTATAGAACAATGGAATTATATTGATATTTCTTTCAGAATATTAATCAATATAATTCTTTAATGGATACTTCACCATATCTCTTAGTAGTGAACATTAAAAATTAAAAGGAGGTTGGAGTAGTGTAAGGCAAAACATTGTTGACATTTATCCCCTCTAACTACTTTGGATGAAGAGTAGATAATCAGAATGAAGTCATATCAAAATGTCTGCCAATGTGGACCTGCCCCTTTCTCCAAAGAACCAAACACAATGACAGTCTGGGGTATCACGAGTGCTCTGTATCGAGACAGCTCCCATATAAACATAAAATTCTAATTTCCATCTCTAGGAAAGTTCATGAACCAACTGAGAATGAATGATCTCCCTGTCTCCTCTAAGACATCCTCCACAATTGCTAAAGCACCATAGTAAAGCAAGAGGGGAATACAGCAGGAGCTAGGATGCCTTCAAAAAAAGGACTATTTCCCAGACTTACAGGATGCTGTTCAACTTTATAACCTTAAAACATCCTGACCAGCAGCTATCCAAATACAGAAAGCATTGAACAATGAATGGATTTCTTATAGAGTTAGATTTTAAATTAATAATGACTCCATTTTTATAAAGTTTTCCGAAGAACTTTATTTATAACTACCTGGTGAGATAAATAGGGCAAACATTATTATCCCTGTTTTATAAATGAAGAAACATTAAGTTGAGAGAAATGAAATGATTTGTCCAGGGTGAATCAGTTAATAAATAACCATCAAAGTGGGAATTCAAAACCAACTTGATACCAACACCAATGCCCTTTCCACTATTTACCGAGTAGCCTCACCGTAAATCAGTAATTGAATGTCAGTCAAAAATCTTCAAACACAGAGGCTCCTCTCCCTACCTCACATGCATATATCCTACTTTCAGCTGTTTTTCTCACACATCATTAACCATCAGAAAGAGTAATTCAAACTCACTGGAATTGTTTGATTTTATATATTATAATATATTCAATAGGACCTTCAGCTTCAAAGTATACTCCTTTATGTAGTGTTCTTTTCCTAAAAGACTTTCTATATATGTAAAGAATGTTGACTATACCTATACTCATGCTAATTTATACACCTCTGATTCTCTTATGTGACTTTAGTGTTCTGGATTCTTTCATGTGTATTTGGCTTGGGGTAGAGTAGCGGGAGTTGTTCCAGTAAACCTGTCCCAAAGACAAACAGGTCACCACTTTATTTCAATTCACTCCATGTAAAGCATTTAGTGCACAGCCTGGCTGTGAGTCCACGGGCCTTACAGCTCCTTTGATATAAGAGAAAACAGAGAATACTATAGACAAAGGACAACTGGAAGTCTTTGGTGTAAACTAGTTTGACCTGTTATTGAATTAAGAGTACTGGATTTAACATCAAGGAACTTGGGGTCAAATCCCACATCTACTATTTGATCCCTCTATGACTTTGGGAAAGTCGTTTCTCCTCTATTGGTCTACATTTCCCAATATGTAAAATAAGGGGTCAGAGAAGATGATTTCTAGTAATTCTTTCACTTCCACATCATATTTAAGCTACTGAAAAGTTTGTTAGTCCCGGTCTTCAAAGAACCACAATTCCACATCTTTTCTATGTTGTATATTATCTCCTAATAAGGATTACTATTTAATTCTTCTCTTTCAAGTTAGAAGAAACCTTCTAGACCTGAGTAAAGAAGAAACAGATCGTTTTATCCGTGCGCTCGACATGGCAAAGCGTACTATTCATCCCTATTTGGTCATAGCCACCAGGAGATCAGAAGAACTACTGGGGACAGATGGCAATACACCACAGTTTGAGAATATTTCCATTTATAACTATTTCGTGTGGTCCCACTATTACTCAGTCAAAAAGACTTTCCTTGGGGAAGGGCAGGAAAGCTTTGGGGCTGTGGATTTTTCTCATGAAGGCCCAGCATTTCTCACCTGGCATAGGTACCACCTACTGCAGTTGGAGAAAGACATGCAGGTAAGCTTGGGAATAATTGCTGAAGGGTTAGCTTTTAAGAGTCTTTGCTTGGAAGCAAATTGCTTCTGAAAACCCAGTGCAATTCTAGATGCTAAATACAGGGCTAGGAAGTAGAAGTTCCTGTGTTTCATTCTGATCTTGATTCTGACTGGTTGTTTAGCTATGTTCAGTCCAGTCCCTATGCGTGGCTTTATGCTTCATAAACCAGCATAAAGGAAGAAACATCAGGTCTCCATACCTTGCAGTCTCATAGGAGCCACTTATAGGAGTGAACTTAATCTTTATAAAACTATGACAACCTTTTAATTAAACAACTTTTATCTTGTTGGCCCATTTTCATCTTGTTTAGGGCTACCGAAAGATTGTCCCATTCAGACTCTTTTATTTTTCCTATGTTAAAGAGTGCAGATTATCTTCCAAAACCATGATGAAGTAGCTCTCAGCTTTCATGGGTCTCTGATATTTATTAGTGTATTTTGGAGGAAAAATGTTGTTGTTGTTCAGTTGTGTCCAACTCTTTTGTCCAAGCCCACTTGAGGTTTTCTTGGCAAAGATACTAGAGTAGTTTGTCATTTCCTTCTCCAGCTCATTTTACAGATGAGGAAACTGACAAAAATGAGTCTTCCTGATTCCCAGACAAGTGTTCTATCCACTGGCCATCTAGCTGCCCTGAAATGAAACAAACAAACTAAAAAAACACATAAATAAGTAGTATGATCTTATTGTGCTACAGAACAGCTTCTGTCACCTGGCACAGGTACTATTCTTTCTACACTGTGCTATTTTCATCTGCCTCCACATTTCCAAACCTCTTCGTATCTGAATCTAAAATGGAAATCTGTTTAAAATGTTCCAGTGTTCTGATCTCATTTCTCATTGAAGTGCCTTTTCTCTATGTGACAAATCCTTACCATGCCTGTCTATCTGATGGCCTCTAGCTTGAGCAAAGTGGTTTCCTGATTATTATTGAGGGTAGGATAAAAATTCTTTGAGTCTGTTATTGAATTAGGGTCCTCATGCTATTCCTACTGCACTATCACTTGTGACCAGTGCTAGAGAGCATAAAATCAATTAGAAAAATAGCAGAGGTGAACTAGGGAAGTCACTAAGTACATACTTGTTAAGTGGTGAAAACAGCATTGTACAATAAAAGTCTCTCTAAAAAAACCCATTATATCTTACAACTATTTTGAAGGCATTTTCAGAATCTGATTTAATAATTTTTAATGTAGGTGTGACACTTTCTGTTCATTGTTTTGCTTGCCCTCAAAAAGAATGATTGAAGAGAAGCTATCCAATTCATTGAATCACAGAGCTAAAGATAGTCCCATGAAATATTCTCTGTGTAGTTCCAGGATGATTAAATGATCTCAGCTGATACTTGGGGCTGCATATTTTATAGCTCTGATCACAAGTAAGACATTTAGAGGATTATGGGTAGATAAATCTGTCATCTGTAATTGGGTGCACATCCCTGTGCCCTCAAGTTATTTTCTCCTGGGCATATCATAATGAAAGGGCAGCTGGAAATTATGTAAAAGCTTCAATTTTGCCTATGTAAACTCCGATCACCATGACTAACATTCTAGAAAACCAGCTATCCTGCAAATCTGGTCAATTAAATCCTGACGTACTATGTTATGGAAATGCCGCACAAAGATGTTGGTACTTCAGAATGTTAATTACCAAGCCACAAATATACTCTTGATGATTACTTTAAAAGGCTGGTACTAATTTCGAGAGCAAACATAATAGTTTCAAAGTGAGAAATCCGAGTCCCACAATGGACAAAAATCAGGAAAAAAAATCTTTTCTAGCTTTTTGATCGTCCAAATCTCTTAGAATACTGATCAGAAAGGGCTTCTTGGAATGTAATTTAGAATGCCAGACATATCAGCAATTTATTGAGAGGAGAGAAGGGGAAGAAATGCAAAATAAAAACAATTTAAACTTAAGAAAAAAAAACAAGAAACTAAATGCAATTTCCCAAAGTACAAAAAAAAATCTTATTAGAATTCATAAGTAAAATAAATGACTATGCTACCTGGAATTCTTTAAATTAAGCATGAGTTCATGAAGAACCTCATTAAAAAATGAGGGTGGTACTAACAAAAACCAGACCACAGAGCTAAGGAAAACAGACAGGAAAAAAATTGACTAAATTCTTATTCTACAGAAGTATATAAAATTTGTTTATCAATGTAATTGACATACATTATAACCAAGCTCTTACCTAACACCTTCTTCCCTATAAACATGTCTTTTAAGAAGTCCCCAGAAACCATTCAAATTTATCCCTAGTATCCAATTTGAGTCTTTATTCTTCACTTGGGTTGTTAAATGTCATAGAAAGTCATACCATCTTACCTATCAAGTGGGTAACCAATAAATGCTTATCAAATAAATGAACTGAATTGAATTGAATAAAAGGGTTTTTCTTAACAGCAGTCCTAGTCAGTACAAAGATGTTGTATAGCACCTCAAGTTAGTTGATCCATGTAGTTACAGAACTCTGGAATTCAATTTAGTTGTTTTTTTTTATATTAAGCATCTACAATATTGAAAGCAGAGTGCTAGATAAATAAAATACAAAGACAAAAATTAGACTTTGGCTTCAGGAGGCTTTCAGAGGATGACTGTAAAACACATGTACCAATGAATTCATACAAGATCATTTAAGGAAGGAGAGCACACTAAAAACTAGAGGATGATGAAAAATTCTATATAAGATGAAGCACTTAGGCTATCCTTTGAAGGTAGCTAGGTATTCTCAAAAATGCAAGTGAAGAGGGAGTACATTCCAGGCGTGGAGGACAGCCTTACAAAGGTATGGTGATGGGAGACAGAATGAAAAGGTCGTAGAAAAACAGTAGTCCAGTTTGATTGGAATGTAGAATACACAAAAGGAAACCAATCTGGGAAGGTTGGTAAGAGTCAGATTGTGGAAAGGATATTAATGCCAGGCTGAGAAGTTTGTATTTTATCTTACCAGAATTAAAGAATGAAGTGAATACGACGGAGACTCAGAAATGGCTATATTAAAAGTTAACTGAAGCCTTTTCCACTTGGTAGTGACATGGTCAAATCTGTGTTTTAAGGATACTACATGTCAGCTCTGGAATGCAAATACCAGCTCCAACTCTAATGAATGACCTTGACCTTCCCTTTTCCGAATACACTTGGGCTCCATGCTTTTAGGTTGCTTTTTTCCTCTGGCATGATGAATTGTATCTTTCCAAGCTGAAAACAATAGCTCTATCTATAGAGCTGTTCATTTGAGAAACCATGTCCTAATCAATTTGAAAATTGTCGTCTCTAGCTAGATCTTAAACTATAAGTTAAGAGAGTAGTGAATTCTGGGAGATGAAAGAGATTGTTGCTCTTCCCAACCTTCTCCTAAGATGTCACCAATATCATTGGCTTCCTTGTTTCTTGCCCTCTGGCCATGTTGTACTTGATGTGCTCCTCTACTCAGTTAACTGCCAACTGCAAGTTTCAAGAGTCCTTTAGATAACTTGCTATGTCAGGTTTCCATGCCTCCAATCTGTATGGGTCTTAATCCTCCCTCATCCAGTCTGATCCTATTATAATCTCAGGTTCTGAAATGAAACTATATGAAACTGCTAGAGTCCTAATTCTGACTAAAGTGGCATAGCTGTCATTTACAACATTGTTTGCAGCCTTGGGATTATCTTCAGTGCCTCTGTTTTCATGATTTTTTTAATATCCAGTCAGTCATGAAAGAGTATCTATTCTACCTCAAAATCACTTTTCACATCTATCCCCTCTTAGTTCCACTGCTACTACCCTACTCTAGGCCTTTGTTACCACTTTCTTGATCCATAAACCAGGACTTTTAACAGGGATTTCCACTCCTCTCTGTTTTATTAATCTATCCAACAGTTTATACCAATACAGAGTAATATTTCTTACATATAAAGCTAGTCATAGCTATTTGCGATAAAAAAATTCGTTTTTGATAAAAAAATCCCCATTGTCTAAAGAGTAGATTTCAAACCTCTTTGTCCACAATTCAAGGCCTTCCATAATCTGACAATATCATATTTTTCCAGTATCATCTCATATTTCTAGACTCCACACACTCTGTGCACCAGCAAACTAGTATACTGAATATACTGAATATTCCTCTGCTGTACATTTGTTCAGTTCACCCTGTTTCTTGTGCTTGCAATGTCCTCTTCCTTCCTCTTTTTAGTCTGTGAATTCCTACCTTCCTGTAAATTGGACTCAAGCATCACCTTTTCTAGAAAGCCTTTCTTAATTGCCCAAGGTGGTATAGACCTTCTGCCTTAGCCTTCACCTGGCACTTGGCTTTGCGCCTCTCCAAAGTGCTTATCTTGCGCTACTGGGTATTATTGCGATCTGTGTTTCTGTCTTATCCCCCATGAGACTGTAAGCTCCATGAACATGTGTTGTGTAAGCTTTCTGTCTCCCTCTGTAAATACAATGATCTCCACCTAGTAGCCGTTTAGCACACGTTTACTGAATGAAGAGTTGTTGACTGAAGAGTTGCTATTTCATTTAACTGTTGAATACTGTTTTGCCTAAAGCTGTGTTTTCAAGCAACCAATTAACACCATTAGGTGGGGTTTGACTGCACCTTTTATTCCCATCTTGTTAGTCTTCCACATCTGCTTCAGACAGATGCTTGTGTGCCTTTACTTCATTGATAGAGTAAACAATAGAAGAAAGTATAAACTTCTAGGCAAAAAAAAAAAGTGTCATTGACAATTGCTGCTAAAAGCAAAGTAAATTTTGCAGACTAAATCCTTCATACATTTAAGGAAGCTTTCAAATGATTTGCCACATACCATGTCATATGATAGACTTTATTTTCCTAGTGCCTAAATCACTCTTTCTATTTGTTTAGGAACTCATTTACATACACTGGTCCTATTTAGGCACTGCCAATCCACCATGAAAAACCAAGATGAATGGAAAGCTACTTATCTAAATTTCTATCTGAGAATGACTTTAGCAAAAAAGAAATGTTGACCTGCCAATGATTTCACTGGAAAACACTAATAGCATTTCTGTGATTTAGGAGATGCTGCAGGACCCCACTTTTGCCCTTCCATACTGGAATTTTGCTACTGGAGGAAATACCTGTGATATCTGCACAGACGACTTGATGGGCGCAAGAAGCAACTTTGATTTTTCTCTGATAAGTCCGAATTCTGTCTTTTCACAATGGCGAGTTCTGTGTGAATCTGTGCAAGATTATGATACTCTGGGAACCATTTGTAACAGTAAGTTCCAATTTCAACAAAGTACCCTGAATTCTTTAATAGGGAAAGACACTAAATAAATTACCTGGGAAGGGGTGAGATTGAATACCATCAATACTTCAAAGAATTAGGATTCCACTGGTATGGGCAGAGGAGGTGCTAGTACTTTTGGTGTGTGGAGCAAGCAGCATAAGTTAATTAATTTTGTGATTCATAATGTAAAAATAAGAGAAATACAGTCTAGACCTCCGATTTGATTGTTATAGAGAACTCACAGACAAGGAAACTGTGTCCGCCAATGCGGGTTGGCACATTCTCTACAGCTTATGACTTGCCCAAGGTCACACAGACAATACATGTTGAGGTGAGACTTGAATCTAGATTTTCCTTATTTCAAGGACAACTTCTATCCAGCAAGGCAAATCATCTTTTATAAAAATAATACAAGAAGTCATTAAGACAGATTCAGTTGAGCAGCAGGGGATATAATACCACTACAGTGGCTTTAACTCTGCTAAAGGAGTTCATCCTCTAAATTCTGGTGTCTTGGGACAACCTCAATTGTAGCACATGTAGAAAATGGATAAGAAAGGAATGAAAGATAAAGTCATACCCCCAGCTAATGCTGTGAATTGGCTGCCTTGCCTACTTGTGGTTCTGACATGGCTTTTCCTTCTGTTGCTGCAAAGCCTAAACTCTCCACTCCTTACTAGTTGCCTTGTCACTTACTTTGCCCCTGCTCCCCAAAAAAAGACAATTAAAAATCATCTAATAATCTTCTGGTTATCTGGCCCACTTTATTTCATTCTAATTTTTATCACTCTGAAAAATCACTCAACAACGCAATTAAGTGATCCAGAGGATATAGACTTTCCATACTTTTCATACTCTTGATCTTTTTCTATTGTTGGCCAGAAATCTACTCATTTTAACATTAATTTCCACATGCATTTAAAAAATGATAGCTGTGGATTAATCCTCCCATTGTACTCAATACTGATCAGAGCCTTCCTGCCATAATCATATTTTTTGTTGCGCTGTTAAAAGTATAAAAAAAAAAAAAGCAGTGGAAGATGCCAAGATACTTAAGGCGTTAGAAGATATATAAAAGGGAAGAGAGAAATAACTACATTTATTTCATTTTGGAGTTTCATTAACTTACAGCTAGTCTCTAGAATCACATAAATTCAGAGCTGAAAGAGAATTTAGATATCACATAGGGCATATCTTCCTTTAATTGATCATAGAAATCATAGGATATAGGCCTCTTTCCTTAGATATCATCTAACCCAATCCCCTCCATCATCTTACAAATGAAAAGACAAAGGCCAAAAAATGGAAGTGACTATCCCACCTGATATACACAGTAAGGGATTAAAATACTACTAAAGAAATTAGGGATAGATAAAAGTGAGAATTTTCTAGTCAGAAGGATAAGGTTTCTCCCTATGAATAGACATAAGAAGTTAGTGATAATAAAAGCTAACATTTAGATAGCATCTACTATATGCCAGGCATGGTGATAAAATATAATCTCATTTGATCCTCACAACAACTTTGAGAGGTAGGTACTATTATTACATCTGCTTTACAGATGAGGAAACCAATGTTAAGTGACTCGCTAAGGGTTATACAGCTAGAAAGTACCTGAGTTGGATTTGAACTCAGGACTCTTTGACTCCAGGCCTAGGGTTCTATCTACTGTGCATAGTAGCATCAGGAGTAGCAGTGTGTGAAATCAACTCCTATGGAAGATGTTTTGTGTTGTTTTTCAAAAGAAAAAAATAAACTGTGTTCTCATCTGGAGAGTTGGCTTGGAATGGGCCCGCCTCAAAGCAAGAGACTGGAACAGAAGGTTTCTCAGGGGTCCCTTAAGCCCCATGATTTTTTTATACCTCTCTATATAACTATGATTTTGTTTGGGGACTCTCATAATGCCTCTTAAACATCATGATGATACCATGTTGGGAAAATATAAAATGCTAGGTGGTATTAGAGAAGAAAGAGAAAGGAAAGGATGTAAGTAGGGAAGAAAGGGAGTGAGAAAAGGAAAGGAGGGAGTGAGTGAGGGAGGGACAGGGAAGAAGCAAGGGAGGAGGAAGGGAGGCCATTACTTCACTCAATGGTTGCACCCTCTTTTCTTTTCATGTAAGTCAATAGTAAATAAAATATATCTATTTTTTGGTCCAGTACTTTACAACTTTCAGTAATTTTACATTCATTACCCAAGCTAACCCTCACAACAACTCACAGAAACAACTGGAGATAAAGAGTTTAAATGGCTTTTCCAAGTTAAATGATTAGAAGGGCTGAAGCCAAATCCAGAACTCTTATTTTTTTTTGTACTCCTAATTCTGTGCTCTTTCCCATTGTACTGTTGCCTTATTATAAGCTTCTACTCATAATTTGCAATGTACAAATATTTAGGGAAAAAAGCAAGGGGTTTAGAAAAAGAAAAACATGGTATCAGCAACACACAAACACAGTCTTGCTAGGCTTTTCCTGCATGATAAATGGGTACATAGTTTAGATAGATAGATAGATGAGTAGACAGACAGATAACAACACTACCAAGGGCTGCTTTGCCCTGACATACAAGGCAGTGTTTTTGAAATTGTTTACTAAACAACAATTGCAATGGTTGATCTCTCAATGATGTACTTTTTTTTGTTTTTAATAAACTGACTTTATCAGTCTAGTAAAGCAGACCAGACTCATTAACCTCAGTGTCAACATATTTTTAAGTACTCTTCATAAAAATATATGTTGATTCTTTTTCTTTTCTTCTTTGACATAAGGTTGGATTATACAGGGAACGACCTAGAGGTGGTTGTAAAGAAAAAATAGTGAAACAGTTCAAAATTATTTGCTAAGATGGTTAGTCTTATAATTTATAAGGCAATATAACCCTTAGTTAAAATAATATGCTCCTGGGGGGGGACTATTATGAATTATGACATGTTCTCTCTCTGACTCAATCTGTCTCCTTCCTTCTCCCATCTCTTTATCTCTCTCTCTCCCCCTTTCTTACCTTCTTTCTCAATATATCTCTCTCTGTCTTTCTCCCTCCCTCTCTCAGTCTCTATTTTTATATCTTCCTATCTGTCTGTCTGTCTCTGATTTGTCTCTGTCTTTCTCTTTCTTTGTCTTTGTCTCTCAGTATCTCTCTCTGGCTCTGTGTCTCTGTTTCTGTCTTCCTGTCTCTGTCTCTGTGCCTCTGTTTCTATCTCTGTCTCTCTCTCTCCCTCTCACTGTGAGGAGCACTCAAATGTGGAGCTTCCTCCAAAAAAGGAGATTAACAAGACTTTTGTAATATGTACTTTGAGACAGTTGCCTGCCAGAGACCCTGAGTGCTTAAATGATTTGCTCCTAATCACTCAGCAAATCTAAAATCTAGGGGATTTGAAATCAGGGTCTTCTTCTGGCCATTTATTCACTAAATCATTGTTATTAACACATGTAAAATCTTTATTTTCTGTTTTCTTTGAAGTCATAGCTTTATAGCGCAGATTTTCAGGCCCTAGATCTTTTAGCTTAAACTTCCTAGTTTACTTAATTGTTTGAATCCTTGTAGGTCATTGGGATAATACTCAATCTTCTATTTAGAGTAAACAATTCTGGAAGAAATAGAATGGATCACATTTCTATAGCACTTACAAGTTTAAAAACAACTTTCTTTATAACAATCCAGCCAGGCAAGTAGTTCAAGGATGTTCATTTTCATTTTACATCAAGAACAATTGAGATTTAGAAAAATTTAGTGACAGTTCAGTGGAAAGAGCTTTGCATATAGTCTGAAGAGATCAGCTCTGATCCTGCCTCTTCCACTTAGTATCTAGGTGACCTTGAGTATTTTCCCTCTCTTAGACCTCAGCATCAACATATCTGTGAAATCTAGGGCTGGATAAGATGACCTCTGAAGTTCTTTCCATCTCTAAAACTATGATTGAATGCTCACTTGCTGACATGTTTAAGTCTCCTTATTCCATGTCAAGTATTCTTTCAACCATAACAATGCGGCCTTTTGAAAAAACTCTATTTTAAACATGTCAAGGGCAGCCTGGGGTTGAGGTAGGGTTTTATTTAGTTAGTAATTAATTTCTAATTTATTTAGTTAGCAATTGATGTCCAATTAATATTCTTTGTTGAAAAATTAATTGATATTGTTATCTTTTATTTTGACATCACTTAACATTTTCTCTCCCTCCCAGGCACCCATCCCTTAAAACAAAGAATAAATTGAAAGGGAAAAACAGTTTAGCAAAATAGACCAAGTCAGTAAAAACAAAGTTTAATATTACATGTAATGCTTCACATCCACAGAATTGGGAAAGTAATTCTTCATATCTCTTTTTGGGGGCTAAGCTTATGTAATGATAAGGAAGAAGAAGAAGAGGAGGAAGAGAAAGGAAAAAAAAAGGATGTCATAACACTCAGTTTTAATTGTTTTTTCTTTTTTATTTTTCCGTCCATTTACATTGTTGTAGTCATTTTTTATTGCTTTTTCTGGTTCTCTTTACTTTCTTTGACTCAGTTTTTATAAGTCCTCCCACGCATGGTGTCGGCATTTCTTTAGTTAAGAAACTCAAAACATCTAATCAATGTTCTTTTCAAAATATTCATCAGGAAGAAGTGATAGTTTAATTTTAATACATTCTCAAGGCCTGAACATGTGTGTGCTTGGCTTGCTGTTTGCATGTTTGTGGGAAAAAGAGGACTTAATGATCCATCTCCCACCTACTCTGCTATCCTTGGTACCTCTACTCTTTTCTCTTCTACCTCAGAGAAAACGTCTTCCATTGTTGATGCTGTGCATTTGTATTTTTTTTAGAATCATGACACGGTTTCGACTAGCTGTAAAATGTTTCCTTTCTTTCCATGATTCCCAGGCACAGAAGGAGGACCCATTCGAAGAAATCCTGCAGGAAACACAGCAAGGCCCATGGTGCAACGTCTCCCGGCGCCACAGGATGTCGCTCAGTGCTTGGAAGTTGGTGTATTCGATACCCCTCCCTTTTATTCCAATTCAACAAACAGTTTCAGAAACACAGTGGAAGGCAAGTAAACAGAAGGAGGGATTTGGACCCCTTCTGCTTCAAAGGAGTTAGAAGGAGGCTTCAGACACCATGTAATGTCAGTGCAGGTTTTCTATGTGCATTGAACTCTGATGAAGCCTATGAATCCCTTATCAGAAAAAATATTTTTAAACGAGTAGCATAAAATATATAGGATTATAAAAGAAACAGGTTATAGTGAAATACAGGTATCAAAATATTTTTAAAATAAGTTTATCAACCACAGGTTAAGAATCCCTGATCTAATCCAATTCTCTAACAGTGAAATAAAATGTTCTAGTTCAGGCCTGATAACTTTAAAACTCACCTTGATCCTGTGGCTTTATATCAGTTAATCACCATTGTTTTCCTCAGGAAGAACCTTCTAATTGAAGACTTCAGATTGTAGAACTTTTTCTAACAGTCTTAAAAGGATAGGCCTGAGATTATGTTACAGGATTCCAAAGCAGAAGCAAAATCTATTTTCCATTGCATTCAGAGAACCAAATTAAAGACATGAAAATTCCACATTCCTGTTTTATTTCTGGACTTTTTTTTCTTTCCATATCTAGACTAGTCTCAACTCTTTTAAGTTTATTTTAATAAGCAATTAGGCAGACAGAATCAGGAATAGATCTAGTGAATAATAGCTATATCATGGCTAAAATGGGCATATACAGAGTACAAGCTATAACTCTTTTCTAAAAAAAAAAGTACTAGTTTATACTTAGTGATACTCAATTTTAAAAAAAAAGAATGATGGTGGTGGGAAAGAATAGGCTAGTGAGAATGACTTCTAAAATTTCAGTTACTGATAAGAGGGAAAAAAAAATTCTAATTCCCCTCTCCCTCATTCCTACAAGACCATAAGAAAGAAAAGAAAGAGAGAGAGAGAGAAAGAAAGAAAAGAAGGAAGTGAAGGAAGGAAGGAAGGAAGGAAGGAAGGAAGGAAGGAAGGAAGGAAGGAAGGAAGGAAGGAAAGAAGGAAGGAAGGAAGGAAAGAAGGAAGGAAGAAAGAAAAGGAAAAGAAAGGAAAGGAAGGAAGGAAGGGAGGGAGGGAGGAAAGGAGGAAAGAAGGATAAAAATGACCATATTAATGATCTTTAAATTTTTTTCTTGTTAATAGCAAGTGACCTATATTATTAGCCTAGGATTCTGTGTGACATGAGTAGTCCATTAGACATGATCAGTTTCAAATTAATCTACTGAATTGTAGATGAATTGTACAAAACTGGATAAACCCTTATAATAAAGTACTTCGAAACACTGAAGAAAGAAGGGACAAAGTGATCCAGGCTTAAATGAGGCATATCCCTAGAAAAGTTCAGTATCAAAAACACAACATGGTTACAGAGGCAATTAGCAAAATTTGATAAACATTTTGAGACTAAAATTTCCAGATGGTTAGGACTAGTGCAGAGATAGCAGGGAAGCTTCTCTGAGAAATTGTAGCTTCCCCACACCATAAGGTAGGTTTCTAAATATAAATGTGCTGACAGTCGTTCATCAGGAATAAGGTAGGAAGCTGAAATAACAGCTGGTGCATTCGGATGGGTATATATGATAGACTGGGTAGTATCCCTCAGAATTGTGTCAGCAATTTTCAGTTGAATTTGAAGTTTTCCACTTCCTTTATTTCCTCATTTATGGAAAGTAGCTGCCTATTGTTTCAGTTTTAGTACTCTAAATATTGTGCCTGGTGTCTTTAATAGTGATTTTTTTTTTAATACGGAAATCCCACATTCCTGTTAATTTCCTCCCTTTTTCTATTCTGGGCTAGTCTCAAATCCTTCCCATAATCATCTTGTTTGAATAACCAGATAAGATGACAGATTTGGAAATCGATTTAATGAATAATCATACTATCCCAGGATTTAGATCTAGAAGATATCTTTAGGTATCATCTAATCCAGGGGGTCAGCAAACTGCAGGCTGAGGGCCAAATCCATGCTCCCTTGGCCCCCATTTTGGTATGTTCTTCAAGCTAGAATATTTTTTTTTACATATTTAAAAATGTAAAACATGTTTAAAACTTTTTTTATGTAAAAACCATTTCTAACTCATAGAGCCTTATGAAAACAGGAGACAGGCAGGGAGGGACAGATTTGGTGAGCAGGCCATAGTTTGATGACATTTGATCTAATCCAATCTCTTCATTTTACAAATAGGGAAACTGAGACTGTGACAAGTAAAACAGCTTGCCTGAGCTCACAAAGATAATGAAGAGAAAAGCCAGGATTGATATCCAAGTCCCTAGATTCCAAATCTAATGCTCTTCCTACTGCATTACGTTGTCTCTGAAACTCAGTGGATTGAGTCTAAAGTGATAGATGTAGTATATGCAGAATATATATCACAGTACTCTTTTCTAAAAAGTGTGTGGATTAATGCTTACTAACGTCAACTAAAAGAGAGAACAAAGCTGGCAAAGTGACCTCAAGTCTACATTCAAAATTTCCTAATATAAACCTAAAAATAGCAGACATCTTTAAGGGTGATGATCAATTGTAGGTTCCTGAGAAACAATCTTATTACATATATAAATGGAGCAATCTGATGAGCTTTGGAAGAAAATTGCTTCTTATTTTTAAAATTATTATGGTTATCAGCCTATCTTTACTTTTCACATATAGGTTACAGTGATCCTACAGGGAGATATGACCCTGCAGTTCGAAGCCTTCATAATTTGGCTCATCTGTTTCTGAATGGAACAGGAGGACAGACCCATTTGTCTCCCAATGATCCTATTTTTGTCCTTCTACACACTTTCACTGATGCGGTTTTTGATGAATGGCTGAGGAGATATAATCCTGGTAAGATGTTTTTGTTGATGGTTTTTGCAGGCTCAGCAAAGTGAACCATTCTGATGGAGTCATTATCACTAAACTAAGCACTCAACATACATAAAGTGCCCTTTAACATTAGGGTGAAATCGCCATAATTTCCAGTCATTTCCACAACATTGAAAACCACTTAGAGAGAACAAGCATCAGATGCGTTCAGGATAGTTAATATAATTTGACAGTTGTTGCAAAGCATGCTAGGATGACGCAGGTCCTACCCGAAGATAACTAAGATTTCCATGAAAAATTACCACCACATCCTCTAGCCTTTCCCCTCCTCCAACACTCTAAAAAAGATTAATTCTGCCATAACTGAATTTGAAGAATGACTATTCAAACCTGCACAGAGGCCTCAGGGACTAAAACCAAATTAGATAGTGTCCTAACACACTGAACTGTTTTATATCACATGTTGGCTTCTCACAAATGAAAACTTGATTGAACTTGCAAAGTTAATCTTTAATTTTCCTACCCCATAGTATAACATATGTTTTAAACCTATTTTAGGTGGAATATTTTAAATTTCCTATTAATCTCTTTCACTTTGCCATTCTAATCTAGTAGTCTCAAATGACTTTCCAATTAAGTGAAGTTGATTCTACTGGTTAAAATGGCATGAATGGTTCAAGGATTACAAATGTTCTACCTTGCCAGACTCTCCTCATCTGTATAGTGAAGAGGCTAAACTAAATAATCTCTATGCTTTCTTCTGGTTCTATCAGTTCATAATTTATAATTTATAAGGTTCCTTTGATCTTCTTATGCCTCTATCTCACAATGTACACATTCCGAAGTTAATTATCATTACCCCTTTCCTTTCTTCTCCAATGACTTTCTCTCTTAACAAAATGGCTATTTTTATATAATGCACAAATGGAAAAGGTAGAAAATAGTTGCAACATCTATGTAATCATATAAGCAATAGCTAAAATTTATATAGCACTTATTTTGCAAGATATTTTATAAATATTATCTCATTTTATTCTCACGACTCTAGAAGTTTAATATTCCCCATTTTGCAGATGAGAAAACTAAAGAAGACAGAGGTTAAGTGACTTGCCCGGAGTCACACAGCTAATAAATATCTGAGGCTGAGTTTGAACTTTGAACTCAGGTCTTCCTGACTCCAGGTCTAGCATTCTTTCAAATATATCACCTTGCTGCCTCTAAACTCAAAGTATTATTAACATATATGATAAAATATTAAAAGGATAATATCATTAAACACAAATGTATTTATAGGCTTTCCTAAATACTCCATGTATCTGATTGTGGCCATTAGAAAAGTATTTGTAGGAATATTAACTTATATAGTGATTTATGGCTAAAATGTATTCATTACCACATTTTATTTTCATAGTATAAATGCTTGTTGAATGAGTGAATTAATGAATGACTACTATGACATCATGTGTAAATTATTATTTCCATGTCAGAGTACAGTTAAATAATTTGCCCAAACTCAGGTAGCTAGTCAGTGGTCCTGCTATGACTCAAATCCAGGCCTTCTGCCTAAAAATACAGTAGTCACAATCCCACTATGCTGGAGAGAGAAACATACTTGGGAAAAAAAATAGTAAACTACTCTGAAATTATTTAAAGAGGAGAGTTTTTCTATTGAAAATAGACATTAGATGGTCATAGTCACCCCCACTACTAGGGAGACTGAGCTTGAGCTCAAAAGTTCTGAGTTGAAGTGGGCTATAAATTCGGCTGCACAAGCAGCTAGGTGATGCAGTGGATAGAGTGCTGGGCCTAGAGTCAGAAAGACCTGAGTTCAAATCTGGCATCAAACACTTACTAGCTGTGTGACCCTGAGCAAGTTACTTAATCCAGTTTGCCTCAGTTTCCTCTTCTGTAAAATAAGCTGGAGAAGGAAATGACAAACCACTCCAGTATCTTTGCAAAGAAAACCCCAAATGGGGTCACAAAGAGTCAGACCAGACCAACAAAAATTCATGGAGTATTTGCACTAAGTTTAGCATTGATGTCCCCGGGAATAGTGTGGGGGGCCAAGATGTCAGATTGCCTGAGGAGAAGCAAAACAACCCAGGTCAGAAAGTAGAGCAGGCTAAAGTTCCCTTGCCAATCAAGATGGGACTGGAAAATGAGTAGCCACCACACTTCCAGACTAGATAACAAATGATGGATACATGGATAAATGAATAGATAAATAAAATAAGTGAATTATAAATAAACATTTCTCAAAAGAAAATAGATGTCAAAGTAGAGAATACTTTTTTCTTTGTTTTGTTTAATATTTAAGGAGGAGAAATATTTCATATTAAGGAGAAAATTTTCTGGCTAGGACTTTGAAGGATATAACAAAATCAAAAAATAATAGAATTTTACAGCTAACAGTGATAACAATGATACCAATTAATATTGATACAGTTTTAAAGCTTTAAAAATATAGTTTTTCTCCCTACAATACTGAGGCAATTGCAAACATTATTTCTACTTCTTTTTAAACAGATGATGCAACTGAAGATCAAACAGATAAGTTCAACTTCTGATTTCATAGATAAGCAAACATTCATTAATATAATTCTTCCCATTATATAAAATTCGTGTTGAGCATAATTAAGAGTATCAAAGCTTCCATGCTAGAAGGAACATCAGTAGCATCTAGTCTAACCCATAGTTGATAAACCTGATGATTGATCACCTAGCCTTTACCTGAAGACCTCTGATGAGGGATGGCAGGGAACCCATCACTTCCTGAGGCTGCCTATCCCACTATTCAATAATTCTAACAGTAAAGATGATTTCCAGTCAATTTAGCCTAAATTTGGTTCTTAGAATTATTTATCCATTGCTTCTAATTCTTCCCTTTGAAGCTGAGGAAAAAAAATAATCTCCTTTCTGCATGACACCATTTCAGATACTTCAGAAAGTTAGCATGCCTTTCCTAAGTCTTCTCTTATCCAGTCTAAACAACCCCCCTCAAATGGTATGAACTTAAGACCCTTAAGAATTTGAGTTGCTCTCCTCTAGACACCTTCTGACTTAACAATGTTTCTCATAAAATGTGGTAACCATAACTGAATGCCAAAATCCAGATGTGATCTGACAAGAGTACATTGAAATTATCACTTCTTAATTCCTGGAAGCTATGCCTCTCCTAACATGACCTAAGCTCTCTTAACATCAGTCTTAACATCAGAGGAAAGGAGAGGAGAGGAGAGAAAGAAAAAGAGAAGTCAGAAGTTTTGCCTCATTTTTGAAGGGAAAAACTAAAAATGAATGTATTCAGGGTAGACATGTAAAAACTAGTTAAGGAAAAATGGGAATTAAAACAATTACCTAAATAATTAAATAACTTAATATATCAAAGAGTTATAAAGAGAAATACTCTCTGCTAACAGTTACCACTCTGGGTGCTAAACCCCCTTTTATTTGTTTTTGACTATGGATGTCTTCAGGGAGCTAGGTGGCACAATGGATAGAGTGCTGAGCTTGGAGTCAGGAAGATTCATCTTGTGAGCTCAAATCTGGCTTCAGACACTAGCTGTGTGACCCTGGGCAAGTCATTTAACCCAGTTTACCTCAGTTCCTCATCTGTAAAATGGCTGGAGAAGGAAATGGTAAACCACTCCAGTATCTTTGCCAAGAAAACCCTAAATGGGGTCATGGAGAGTCACACACGACTGAACAACAACAACAACAACAACACGGATGTCTGCACATAATTCAATTACATGCAATTCAACAGTCACTGAATTACAAGATGGCACAGAATATGTCTCTTTAAAAGACAAAAATATGATTGTCGGTCATGTATATAACATCAGTTTTGTAACATGCTTGAACAGATTGAAAATATCTCTTTTCATTTAAAATATGGCAACTTAAATCAACAAATAAATATGTATCAAATTCCCTTGTGCAGGACCCTGTGCTAGACACTAGGAAAACAAAACAATAAAGAGACTGCCCTTGCCCTTACACTTTACTGGGATAAAGTAATGTATACACAGATAAGTGTGTAAGAGTCGGACGTGACTGAAAAATGACTGAACATACAGATAAGTAAACACAAAGTAATTTCAGAATAATAGATGAGGGATCTGTAAGGGTTTCTAGAAAGAAATGGCAGCTGAGCTGAGCCTTGAAGGAAGTTAGGGAATGTAAGAGACAGAAGGGAGAAAGGCTTGCATTCCAGACATAGGGAACAGACTCTTCACAGGCCTGGAAATTGAAGTTGGCATTTTAAGTTTGTTGAGAACCTACTATTCCATCTTGGCCAGAATATATAGTGAATGAAGGGCAATGGAATTAAATAAATCTGAAAAGTTAGGCTGGGCAGATTGGGGGTAGGGAGCCTTTAAATGTTAGCCTGGAAAGGCCTCCCTCAATAAAGGAGGTGTTTTAGGGTTTGGTTCTGAGCTGCTCATGATCATAGTAGGATATGGCCTCTCTGTGTATTTAAAAAGAACATGGAGTTTCTAGTATGGAGCCAAAGGTGTAGATATTAATGCTTTATGTGATGATTAAATTCGATGCTTTATATGATGGTTAAATTCATGGCTTTATAATGAGGGGGATTAATTTGCATTTGTGGGTTTCTGCAAGTTTCAGTCCCTTCATTTACACACATACACACAGACACATACGTGTACATATACAGAGTCCCTTCATTTTTACACTATTTGTGTTACTGCAATAAAAGATATGTTAATGTTTCCATTGCAAACCTCTATTTTGGGAAACTGAGGTAAACAGGGTTGAGCAGCTTGCCCAGGGTCACACAGCTAGTAAGTGTCTGAGGCCAGATTCGAATTCAAATCTTCCTGACTCCAGGTCCAGTGTTCTATCCACTGAACCACCTAGCTCAGTAAAGACTCGAGTTCAAATGCAGCCTCAGATACTTACTAGTTGTGTGACCCTGGGCAAGTCACTTAACCTCTGTTTGCCTTGGGAGCAGTTTTGCCAAGAAAACCCCATGGACAGCATTGACATACTATGGTCCATGGGCTCCCAAAGAGTTGAACACAATTGAACATCAGCAACAACAATTTTCTAGGTACATAGAGGATGGATTGGAAAAAAAGAGAGATGAGAAGGAACAATTATAAGAGGAAGACTATTGCACATCAAAGATGATGAGGACCTGAGCTAGAGTAGTGGTTGTGTGAGGAAAGATGGCTGAGAAAGCTATTAATGAAGAAGAATCAAGAAGATTCAGCAACTGATTGTAGGTTCCTTATTTCCATCTCTAAATACTTCCCCTTCCATATTTTCTGATGTGTCTGGACTTATTCCCGAAAGCATTGGGCAGTATTGTGTTCACTTCTGGTTGTGTAGCAACCCACAGAAGGGTTTATTTGTAGCAAATCAAAGTCAGAACATCAGGGCCCAGTGGAATGATAGCAGAATCTCCGTAGTGTTACTGACGCTATCCACTAGGCACTCTGGTTTGCCACAGTGGATTTATATTGCTAGGGTAAAGGTTTCTTGGTAACCAATAAATTTGAAAGATGTAAGCCTAAAATTCAGACTGCCTGGAGTTGACAAAGCTCAGTCCCCACAGAATAAACTTGGTTATTGATATTGACAGCTCAGCATTCAAAAGTTAAGTTGAAAATGTCAAATAAATATTCACAGTCAAGGACAAACCTTTTCCTGTAGGTACATTTATTTTCTTATTTAAATGACAAATAGTACTTCTACAAACTACAAAACCATCTTTCTATAGCTTTGAAATAAAGTTTAGTAAATTTATATTCAAATTAGTTTCTAGTGTTTAAAAATAATACAATTGATGTTGATCTGCATATAAAATATTCATTCTGTTCTAATTCAATTTTCTTTCCTTTGGGGGTGACATGTTAGTGTTATATTAAGAGTATTTGTACAGTAATTCTTTCATGTTATTCCCAGGTATCTTTTAATGAAACATTTTCCTTGATTTCTTTATCCACAGTGAAATGCTACAGGGTATTTTAATATTCTCACTAAATATTTCAGTTACCTTGGGAGGAAAGATAATATTATTCATATTAATTTAATTGTATCTTCTAACCAGTTTTCCTTGGCATTTTTAGATATATCAATATTTCCACTGGAGAATGCCCCAATTGGACACAACAGGCAATATAATATGGTGCCATTCTGGCCTCCAGTAACCAATACTGAAATGTTTGTTACTGCTCCAGACAATCTGGGATATGCTTATGAAGTTCAATGGCCAAGTAAGTAGTAGTAGTAGTAGTAGTAGTAGTAGTAGTAGTAGTAGTAGTAGTAATAGTTACAATGACAATGATGATGAGGGTGAGGATGACATTTATAGAGCACCTTAAGGTTTTCAAACCATGCTACATATATTATCTCAGTTGATCTCCATACCCCTGGTGGTTAAGTACTACTGATACAATTATACCAATTTTATAAATGAGGAAGCTAAGGCTTAGAGAGATTAAGTGGCTCATCCATGATAATTCAGCTGGTATAGATCATTTTCATTCTAGAAAAATTTTAAGGACTAATTTTTCCTTTTAAATTATTTAAATTTACTTAGTTAATAGTTTGATTTTCTTATATACTTGGGGGATGGGTGATTATAATATAAGTTGTTATATAATATGTAACCTATATGGAGAGATAGAAAACACTCTGAGGTTTTCAGAATTTGAACTTTGCTAGATTTACTTTGTATTAGTCATTACCACTTATTTACTCCTATTTTCTTTCTGCATAGGTCGAGCTTTCAGTGTTATTGAGATCATTACTGTCACAGTAGTAGCTGCCCTAATACTGGTGGCAATTGTCTTTGTTGTCACCACTTGTTTTATCCGGGCCAGAAGAAACAAAGATGAATCCAATCAACCTCTCCTCAGTGATCAATATCAACGTTATGCAGAAGAATATGAAAAATTGTCAAATCCTAGTCAGTCCATGGTATGAGGAAGAGATAAAAGCATACCATATTCCAGTTTTCTACAACATCATATGAGTCTTTAACCTTGCCTGTTTCAAATGATCAGTTAAGTCAATAATATATATATATATATACATATATAATATTTTACCCCTGTCTTATATAGGCATGTGATTATGATTATTGAGCCCGTCATAAGCAATTGCCTTCAGTGAGGAAGAGCCAAAACACATGAATGGATGTTCTGTTTCTAAATTGAAGAGATTGTGATCAATCACCCTTGAGGGTCTTTAGGTTCTAGACTCTCTAAAAAATAACGGAATTGAAAGAGTTCTAAATTTGAAATTAGGTAGAAGCCTGGGTTAGTCCTTCCTCCGAAACTTATTTGACCAGACACAAGTGACTTAAACTCTCTCAATCTCATTCTCCTCACTGACAAAATGGTGGACATAAGCCTTTAGTACCTGCCTTACAGTGTTGTTGTGAGGCTCAAATGAGATACATGTAAAATCTATTTTAAATGCTATATAAATATTATTATTAGACATATAAAATAACATGATATACATATTTTCTTATTTTAGTAATATCTTGTTACTACACCAATCAGATTATATAGCCATTAGAGTATGACATTGCGAAGGATGACCATGTGTTGCTGAATTGAATAACCTACCAGGCCACATTTTTGGTTATCAATAAACAAAAATATTGACTGAATTAAGGTACCTGCTGGGTATTAACACTATTAAGATGTCACAATTCACTAACAGAAGTTAATGGCTAGAAGCAGAAGATCTTAAGCTAATAATACAATAGACAAACGTGCTTAAAGTTCATGGAAAGGTATAAACAGGAACCTAATGAATGTTCCTACTAATTTGTTTTTCCTACTGTGATTTTATCTTGAATACCGCCTTAAGTCTGGCATATATAAGATGATGACACTTCCATTGATGATTGTGACTAAAATGATCTTTAGCCATCTTTGCCATAGTGGGAGTACATTTGAAATCCTTCTTTAATTTGCAGTTTCAGTCAGTATTACCTAAGTCTATCACTATTTGTAACTAGGCTTCCTTGCCTTACACACTGCCTCCAAAGCAGCATCCATCTCTAAAAGTTCTCCTTTAACCTCACCTGTTTGGTGAAACAGATGTCTACTAGTTGACATTTGTGTCATATCCCTGACAATCACATCTCCATGTAATTCAACTACTGTTATTTTCTATACAAACGTCAGAGCTTTACCTTGGATGAGACTTTGTATATTATTTGTATAATAAGTAGTTTAAGCCTGTTGTTTGCTCTCTCTGCATCTTTCCATTGTGGAGTAAATAAAATGCTCATTCAACCATATGTTTTTCACTTACATATCACCTGAAGATAATTTCCAAAGAATTACATGGAATGACACAGGAACAGTCATAGTAATTAAGTTGATAATAAAAATGAAAAGTGATATCCTGAACAAGATGGCTATCTTCATTTTCTCATAGTCTAGACATTTTAATAAGGAAGTGTGACATAGAGAGCTGGTCTTGGAGTCAGGAAGACCCACATTCAACTCTCACCTTTGTCACACACTAGTTTTATAACCCCAAACACATCACCATCAATCAGTGCCCCAAGCATGCCTCTAAAAACAGAAGTCACAAGGAAGATGCTGATCTGTATTGAGAAAGGAAGTTCCTTGATGAAAGCTCCCTTCCCCTCCCTCCTTGACGTGAAAGAAAGATGCCTGATTGAACCCACACTTAAGTCTAGATTGAAGAAGATTAATCATCATACCTATGTTCCCTCCCATGTTCTGTCTAATCTGCCTGTACAGACAGTGTTTATCTTAACTAATTGACCTCTGAGTTCCTTCCAGCTCTGAGACACTAGACAATCAATAGAAGCATAGTATCTAGAGGTAATCATATGCTGTTTATATCTGGGGCATTGTGTTTAGGTCTAGGAACTGAATAAAGTGGAAAGATTGTTAAGAAAATGAAACATGTCTAAAGGATATTTATCAATGTCTTGAATAAAAGTATAGATAGCATGCTTATCAAATCCACATATGAC